TTATATATATAAATTATTAGAATGTGTGTTGGGGCTTGGGAGTGCGTGGGGGAACTTTGGGTGTTTTTCCATAGCTGGGTTGTTGGTTGGTTTTCTTTTCCTTTTAATGGTTAAGTAAATATATATATGGGGACCAATCGAGAGATACAACTGTGAAATCAGACACGCACACGGGGGCAAGGGAGTCACAAGTTGCTACATAAAACTGCCACGTCTAATAGGATGTGCATGAGTTAAAGTACATCAATTAGAATGGGTGAGGGGAAAGGGGCAGCCGCCATCTTACAGACAGTCCCAGGATGCAGTATGCTCGGCCACATCAGCTCTCCCCACGGGGCTCGAAGGGGTTGTGGTGGTGATTGCAGTCTTGAAAACAGTCTCCCGGTGCTTTGCACCTCGTGGCCGTGCCCGTTCCCGTCAGCCGTGGGAAAGCACAGCCACCATCTTGCAAACAGTCTTGCGGTGCTTTGCACCCTGATGGCTGGGACCTGTCCCTCTGCAGGCAGGAGCAGCTGCTTCTGAAGGGGTCCCGTAATGCTTTGTTTGCATCTGAAGGGATGTTGGAGAATGGGAAGCCACTCTGGCTAATATGAAAAAGTTCCACGTTGGTTTTCTGTATCGCTAAGCAGTATCTTACACCTAAAGGGGGGCAGGGTGCGAGGAGGCATCTTGAAAAAAGGTTCTGTTGGGTTTTGAGTTACTTCTTGGCCACACCTCCTCACAGAAGCAGAAAAGGCAGCAGCATCATGTCCATCAAGTCCTGTAATGCTCTGCACTTTTTATTTAACGCAACTGTTCCCCCAAAACAAAGGATGGAGCTGCTGCCATCCTGAATTCACATCAGTCTTTGTCTTTTTGAGCTCTGTGCAATGCTGATGCTGTTTTCTTCAGAGCTCTGCTGAAATCACGTACCGATCATTTCGTGTCCATTAGTGGTGTTTCAGTCCCTCCCCATTTTCTCTCCTCCACTTTCTGCTCCCAGGATGCCATCCTGTACTTTTTGTCCCATCTTCTCTTGCACTCTACTGCATGGTGGGATCAGGATGTGTCACTCCGCAGCTTCCCCTCCCCCAGGATTTGGTTGATTGATTGCTCCTCTTGAGAGAAAGACGTGATGATGTCACTTTGACAGGAGAAGTCCATTTAAAGGGGTTTGTCACTTTCTTTCTTCAGGTGGCTAGGATAAAGAAGAGGAACAAGGTGATCATGTGAGAAAAAAAGGCAATTTACTATCTCCCACCGCCTTTTGTTAGTCTAGACCCCCAGGACACTGCTGGCTCAGAAAGTTTTGCAAATCCTTGAAGTAGGAGATGCTATCGAAAAGGTACAACACTGCACCTCCCTCTTTCCCAACATGCTTCCCCATGCACTTGTGAAAGCCTCGTCTTGGCAAAAGCATCCAACCCTTGCGAATGTTTGGTATTTTGGCAGGAGTATCAGTTAGTCGGAACTGTATTAGCATGTGTGAAACATGCAAGTTTATCCCAACCCCACCCCAAGGAGAGGAGCTGAGACTCTACATGAGATTAGCCACCAAACAGCCACTTGCCAAGAATGACCTTCCTGGTGGCCAGCCCGCAGCTGTGCCCCAGCGGCAAGGCATCCCTGCTCCCAGGTTTGGGCTCAGGCCGAGTCACCCACTTCAGGGGTAATGCTTCCCTGTCCCCACCGCCTCTGCCACCCCCAGGCTGGGGCTGGCCCCGGAGGTATACTTGTGAGGACAGAGCAGTCTGCTCGCTCCACACTGCGTAGAGAGCAGGTCCACACACCTGTAGTAATCCTCCTGCGTCGGGAGTGGCACGCCGTGCAGAGGGTGATGGGCGTGAAGCCACTGCTGCTGTTCCAGAGCCAGGCGCTGCAGCTCAGCTGACTGCGCGTGCATGGCCTGGAGCTGATGTGCTGCCGACATGGGTGCAGAGAGAGAGCCCGGCAGGTCCCTGTAGGGTGCAGCTGCAGCCAAAGACGAAACAGAGAATAAACGAGTTAACGTAACAGCTCCATCCTCTCCCATGGCCTCATAGGCTCTATCAAGACTACTGCACTTCCTTTTCCAGCCCTGCCCATGTGCAGGACTTGCTCATCCCCGGATACTGTAGGCTTGTCCTACACCATGCCAGAGCTCTGTTTAATAGACCTCGGTTCGGTCCTGTGACCCCTTGTGACCACCCTGACCCTTGGAGCTCTGCTGATGCTCTTCAGAGAAGACCAGCAGTACCCTGTGAGCATCCTTACCAAAAAGCTGGTGGCGCAGCACTTCATTCTCATGTAGAGGGTGAGGCAGGAGAGGGTTGGGGATGGTTCCAGCTGGGTATGGTATCCGGGTGAGGTGTGATCCCGAGGCGAGTGGGTCAATAAGAGGGTGAACAGAGGCTGAGGCTGGGAAGAAAAAGATATCACAAGATAATTGTCCCGTGCTTTGCAGGAAGTAACACAAGGCACAAGGCACAACAAAATAGATATGGAGAGGGTTAGTATGTGTTAGGGATGGAACGATTTCAAGACTAGACAATGCAGTACCATGTCCTTCCAAGTGTTACTCTTTTTGCCTGTGTTGAATTTCACGTGAATCAGCCTGGCATAGCTCTGTCCCTTACCCTCCTCAGGGAGAAGTACTGCTCCTTAAGGTCGATTCTGCAAGGACCTGCTCTGCAATCACGTCTGTACCCAGTACCGTGCCTATCTGCCACCCTGGCTGTCGTTCATGTGCATGCTCATATCTGGTGCTTCCATTTCCAGGTCTCATCTGGCACAGATGCTCAGTGTCAGGCACGCAAGTTTGCAAGTACTATCTAAGGCTGAAGTACAAGGTACTATTTATATGAAAACTGCTCTTTCCAGTGTTTTGGACTTGCTGCCAGAGTGCCCGCTGGAGGTGCCCAGCTACAGAGCGTGGGGGAATGCACATGCATTTGTACCTGATGCCATCTCCGAGTAGTTGTAGCTGCTTAGAGTGGGTGTCTGTCTGTGACTGCCACCAGATCCCACTGACTGCTCACAGTACCTGAGCAGGTACAGCACTTGCTCCTACTGTGTTGTAGTTTGGGCTTTGCTTCCCCGAGATTTTCATCCCTAAACTTCTTTTTACTTTGCTTCCCTGTAGCATGTGGAAATGGAAGGGACCACCACTCAATTCTGAAGGACAGCAGCCTCCAGTTCCTTACAATTAGCCTATCTTTTCTCCCATCCCATCCCACCATCTACAGCAAGAGCCACAGGAGCAAACTAGAGAACCAACATTTCATTAGTCCTAAGGACACTGTCGAAACTGTTGTTACCAGGGCTCCCACTCCCTCTGCGAGGGATGCAGTCCACAGCACCACCGCCCCAGTAGCCAGTGGGGGACCCCAGCACTCATATCATGTCCCCAGAGATCCAGAACTAAAGGACATGGTGCAAACAGCTCCGCTCGCAAGCAGCAAACTGACAGACAGCCCGATGCTTGCAACAGATGTCAGTTTCTCTGGTGGGATGGGAGTGAGGGCAAGACTGAATGACCGCGATGTTGACCTCTTCTGGCTGAACAGGTGGATCCGGGGCCTCAAAATCTAGTCTTGGCAGCTTTTGGGCTTCCCCAGGGCCAAAGAGAGTGAACGCAAGGAGGGTGCAGTAGGAGGAGAGCAGGGCTTTGTGCAGGGCACCACCACCATGGGGTCCTTACCTGCATGTATGGCATCCTGCTGGTGGAGATGGAGGTGGGAGTGGATGTGGGAATGCTGATGATGATGAGGTGTCACATTGAGCATCTGCAGCCGGGCCAGAGGGTCATTGCTGAGAGCAGCCACCCGCTCAGCGTGCTGGCGCTCAGCAGCCAAGCGCTCGGCGTAGGACATGTCGGGACGAAGGGTCGGGCCGGCTGCCAGCGCTAGCCTCTCCCGCTCCAAGTGGCCCAGCCCTGGGTGGAAGGGAAAAGCGGGATGAAGGCCAGGGGCCGTCTGCAGACTCAGCCCGCCATGGCGTGGGAACGGATCCATGGCAGCAGCTGGCACAGCATGGAGCTGCTCCAACTCGGCTGGCTTGACTTCAAAGCCAGGCTTGAGACGTTCACGCAGGTCCCGGTCCCTCAGGTCTCGTTCGCGGGCTTCCCGCTCCCTCAGCTCTCGCTCCCGTGTCGCTGGATCGCTGCTGTAGATGGCCGGCACGTTGTACCCCAGCAAGCCCGGGTCAACCGCCCCCAGCGGCACGTAGAAAGGGTGGTTGCGGTTGCTGGGGGACATGACATGGGGCCGTGCGTATTCGCTGAGGGTGCGCAGAGCTGGGGTGTCGGGGCCCAGGTATGGGGGAACAGTCGCTACAGCACTGCCCTGCTCGAAGG